GGTTTTGATGAATCCGCCTATCTTATAAATGCCTATCTTATAAATGGATTTTTAATCCAAAATTTTAGAGATTCTTGATCTAGGTTAAGATGATCATGAATATGAAAAAAAAATCAAATATTCAATATTCAAAATGAGATTTTTTTTAAGGAAAATTTTCTATACCATCTAAATTCATTTTAGCCATGTGGGTTTTTTTTACTTTCTAACACACGAACAACTTTTTCAAAAACGAAAGAGAGAAAAACAATACACACTCTATATGTGCCCTAAAAAAATAATGTATCAGGATTGAACATCGACTCTGAATTTGTTGGATGATCATATTGTTGTACCACACTTGAGAACTCAAAATCTGTTTTTTTCGTTTTTTCCAAAACTGATTATCAAGGTTTACTTCTATTTTTAATCCAAAAACTGCTCACATCGTGATTTCAAATTAGAATCTACAACTTTGGATCGAGAAAATCCTCCTCAATCATTCTTGAAATTAGAATATATCATGCTTCCATAAGAGTACGACATAAGTGCAAGCATTAGTTTCATACCAAATGAGAGAGATTAGTTCCATACAAATGAGAGAGAGGAGGCTCGGTACCACTCAATGCACTCGGGAGCATTGAAAATGATATAGTTATCCCAAGGAGAGGAAAAAGCTGAAAAGAACTTTTGCATGGTTTATACTTCATACTTCAAAGGGATAAGGACACGTTTGATTCGCATGAAAATATTTTTTTGAAAATTAATGTAAAAAAACATACTAGAATCAATTGATATAAAAATATTCCCACACCTAACCAAAAAAAAAAAAATTTATCTTGAAAATACATTAACCAAATGCGCCCAAAGTGAAAAAGTGTTACTTGTATTAGTTATTACGATTAAATGGAAATTATTTCATCAAGGGATTGTTAAGTGCGAGAAAGATCAACCTATAACAAAATGATTGAAATCTTCCTTAGACTTGACACGTAAATCTTCAGACTTATTGTGCACTCAATGGTACCCCAGTCTATCCAATTTCATATCGGACGGCAAATGGTTAATTTACTTTTTTGTACTTAAATGGTCCCATCGTACACTTTGTTAAAGGATATTGTTAGAACAATGTTGGAGCGTTACGATGAAAAGTAAAGCTGCAACTGAAAAGTAGTACTGAAAAATGCTTTTTTGTCGCCAAAAACTCTTATAATGGTCTTGAAATCTATGTCAACCACGTCAAACATAAAGCTTCAAGACTATTGCCTGAGGTAAATCTAGAACAATTAAAATAGACTATCCAAATAATGTATTGCATGGTACACTTGTTTTTTTTTTTTTTGACAACCACAAGATACACTATTATTATCTCTAGAATTTATTTTTTTCATTCAGAATGGTGAAGGAAACTGTGTTAAAATTCTCATTCTTTCCGAAAAAGTCGCAGATAAGGTTAGCAAGGGCTAGGGGTAAGGCTTGCCTAGCCCTAGCCCAATCTAGGTTTCCATAGGGCTAGCTCACGTTCCTATGGGGCTAGCCCAGGCCATACTTGGCGCTACTAAGGCAAAGATGCCATGTTCCTATCAGGTCCGGTCTAGGCCAGGCTGGGTTAAATAAACTAAAAGGAAAAGAAAAAAAAACTAAAATAACAAAACAAGGGACCAGGCAGGCCCCAACTTGCTGTGGCCAAGTCTCTCAGCCCACACTTCGTAACCAAAACTATAGTTTAACACGACCGGGCTGACCAGGCTGCGCCAGGCCACCTGGCCCGTTACCCCCCAAGTCCCCAAAGCTATGAATACACATTAAGCTTCGCCCTAACTTTTAGGTGGATACCACGCATGATGACGGGGCCCCGACCTGCTGCAACTTAACTTTCATCGCTCTAATGACTTGTCGACACGTGCGTGCATCTAAATAAATGTTCTCACGAGTTATACAAGCGAGCCCTTGTGGTCCCCACGGCCATGTATTCTCATGGGCCATGGATGATGCATGCATGAATGATGTATTATCGTGGATGTGCGTTATGTGTGTATTTTATGGGTACATGCATCATGCATGCATAAAACGCTGTTTAGCCGGCTTGGGCCTGCTTGTCCAAAATGCATGTTATCAAACGAGAAGTGATGTCATGGTATGCCACCTGTCAGATTGGAATTTAGTGGAATTCATGGGTAATTAATTAAAATTTAATTATAGTGGGAGGTTGCTATTTTCACTACGCTTTCTTCCAATCCCACCATAAACATGTGTGATTATTACAAACGCAAGTTATTTTTTTGCCTGTGCACCAATGTTTATAAACATGAACTCGAGCTCCTCGGGATGGCAGTGGACCCGGACCCAGACCCAGACCCGGACCCGACCTGGGACCTGAGGGGTAGATCCAATCTAAGTCCGAGTATGGGTCCAAAAAATTGGTCCCAACTATGCTAGTCCGGGTTAAAATCTTGGACCTCAAAACTATTCGAGTTCGGATCCGATAATATTTTTAAGGTCTCAATATATGAAATTTATTTAAATAAAAAGAATATACAATGAGGCCATCTACTTTTAATACAGGTCAACCATTATTATCCATAAAATTTAAAATCAAATGGTTGCAAGTATACTTGTGACCAAACTCAAAGACCAACAAAAAATTTATCGAACTTAGTGACATATCTTAAACCATCTAATTGGACAGCTAATGGGTACGGTTAATTCTGACTTCCTTGTATCAAAGATAAATGGTCTCATAATGTACAATCTTATTTAAATATAGTTAAATGGATAGATATTTTAATTTTTGGGTCGATTCTGATCAGGTCTAGATCCTACAAATATATTTTCGGGAATGTGTCCGAGTCAGGTGAATTCGGGTCCGGGTCCTGACCTGACCCGTTGCCACCCCACAGGCTTTGGACTAGCCAAGATCTTTGACCTAGTCGGTCACTCCAACCTGCCAGGGTTATCATCCCACATTGGAAATTTGGGTTTGGACTTGCTAGGGTCTCCATCCTAGTCGGACAGAATCAGCAGCATTAGCAATTCGGGTTTGGACTCGATATGTTCTCCGGTCCTAGTCAGTCATATAATTGGTAAACTCGGCAGCTTAGTCTAACGTCTGACTCAAACGAGTTTTTTATGAAAATATCAAGAAGGATCCGAGATTTCAAGTTTTGTATGAAAATATCAAGAAGGATCCGAGATTCCAGAGACTTGCCTAGTTTCTAGACTTCACCCAGAATTTGCCAATGTCCTTAATCTGATTCAGGCCGAGTTCATCGAGTCCCGAGTCAATGGACTCGTTTTAATATGGCGGGCTAGCATTGTTTTGGGTGGAAATAACAAAAACATGGGTGCAAAAATGACAATCCTATAATTAAATATATCTTTGTACGCACGCAGAATCCATGTAAAGTGGACATATCCATGGCTGTTGGGTGATTCTCTATTTTTCTTTTTGTTCCTTATAAAAAAAGCAACATTAAAAAAGTATGGAAAAGGTTAAAAGCTATTAACACAATATGTTAAAGAACAAATATTCCTATTATATAAAAAAATTAAGGAATAATATATTATAGAGAGAAGGACAAGAAAATGACTAGTAAGCATATTGTAGTAAAAAGAGTAGTTGCTCCTACGGCCCATACTGTGAATTTACTCCCTTTGGTAAAACTTAAGCTTAGAATATTGTCGGGACTAGTGTTCGCAAACTCGGCCGGTTAGATCGCAGCCGGACATTGGCTGGTTATGGTTTTGGTGATCCAACAGAGTATTTTTAAAAAACTTAAAAAAAAAAAATCCTAAAAAAAATTGTTTGGAATATGTTTTTTGAATGTTTTTTTATCATTTTGACAAAGATTGGAAAGTGTTTGGGCCATGAATACTTACATTTTTTCATCTTTTTTAGAAAATTTTAAAAATACCACTGGGCACAAATCGATTTTTAAAATTTATTTTTCACTAATTTTCTACCTTCATTTGGATGTGCTCTATTGAATTATGCTTTAAATATATTTTTTTATATTTTTTTGTATTTTTAACACTTTTTAACAGAACGGGACTTGCCCTGTTAGACCGATTAAACTAGCCGATTTACTGATCACTCGGAACCGACCCTTGGCCGGTTTCAGAGGCTGGTTTGATATTTCAAACATTGGTCTAGAGTCTGGACCGCCATGGAAATTCACACACTTTTTGGATGATATTATCTTGGACAGGTAAGTCGATTTTTGTCATGTTAACGAAGAAAGAAATAGTGGGGCTGATGCTCTTGAGTTTTTGTTTTGCTTCTTGTTTGATTTCCTTTTTTGTTCCTACACCTATCGTTGTACACTTTCTCTACTTTAATGAATTTCAGTTAATTACTAAAAAATATTTTGTGGACCCTAAATTTTTTGGGGATATCTTCTCTAGAACCTAACATCCAACCTTAAAAAAAACTATTAAAATGCCCTCTACGTAAAAAATATAAGGTCCCAAAATTGAGTAGGAACTGTCAAATTTTTGGGTGCATGATCGAGATTCAAGAACACAAAATCCATTTTTTTCATTAAAATAAATATCTGGCGATATTTAGATGGATGCCAAACTTTCGGATCAGAGTAATCCCCCAACTGACTCTTTTTATCAAAGGAGCTGTTGAATAATAATGCTCCCGCAGGAGCATTTGCTTATGGATAGAGTATGGAGAAACAATAGTGCTCCTGTTGGGTCACTACCGTCTTTGAAATGGATGATGATGGAGATGTCAAGGTCCACCTTGTAGGACCCTCCACTCTATCTTTCTCTGTATCACTGGCCATTTTTTCTTTTGATGGGACGAGGATGACCTAATAGACTATAAATGGTCTATTCGATTTTAAAATACTTCATTTTATTTTAGTATAAGAAGTGACAATCATTATTGTCTGTCAAACTTAAATCATGAGCCTATAAATATGTCATCAACTAAATTCAAAGTTTCAAAAATTTTTTTTCCAAACTTTACCATACACCCCAAGCCGTCCAATTTGATATCTAAGGGCTAAGAGTGATTGTGACCTCTTGTAATAATGCTAAATAGTCTCGTAAGATACAATCCCATAGAAAGTGCATGGATAAGAAAAAAAAGAAGATAATGATAATGCACCCATTTCATTAGTTTTCATTATTTCCAAATATTATGTTCATTTTCTCTCTTGGATCATAGATAACCTTGTTCCTTGAGGGATTCAACACAATCATCAAACATTTCTTCAATGCTCCTGAATGTGAAGCCCAGGTTCTCCAGCTTGAAAGTGTTTAATTCATAGTAAGGTCGAGGATGCTTCCCAAAACTGCACACCCAAAGTGAAAAACTATAAGATATAACGAAGGTTGGAAAGAACTTATCTATTTTTTACTTTTAGAGTAAGAGCACCTCCCTCTTATTTTGTTCAAACTCAAAACTTCTTTCTCTTTTTTTTTTTTTTCAAAACACCATCTTAGACATGTTAACATTTTGAGGGGCAATTTTACTATGAACCCCATGACTATGCAAAAATCATGAAACTCTTTATGATAATCCAATTTTTGATGGATTAAGGACCCAAAAACCATTCGAAACCCTTACATTTCCTTCATAATAAAATAGATTTGAGCTCTCAAATGGTGCTGCATTTTGAGATAGTCTTCAAGCTAGAAAATATATGATCAAATTATTTACTTTTAACACAAGAGCCACAGTTAGTTACTGGATGTGAAATCTAATAGTTGCATATATTGCTAATGACTACACTCAATTAAATTTTCCTCGAACGTTGCATCACTCTCCTAACTCTTTAATTTCACATCAGATGGCTAGGATCAATTGTGACCTCCTTGTATTTGAGGTAAGTGGTCTTACAACATACGCTTCCATTCAAGATAAAGCATTTTTAAGGCCCAGATCTTTGGTTTTTATATATATATATATATATATATATATATATATATTTGTTTGTTTTGAATCTTGATACTCGAGTTAAAAGTAAGAGTTTGCAAATTTTGAGTCGTCCGTCATCCAAAATCCAGAGAAACAAGGTGTGCCCAGCTCACCATTTATTGTAATTTTCAAAATACATGTTGTCTATTTTGGGTAATTCAGTGGGGAAGACCTGCCCCGACTCATTTTTTAATATAGATTATGGAGTTTGCTTTTTTGAAGGATTCAGTGGTTAGTGTGAGTAGGATTGAAAACCACAAAATAGATAACTAGGTATGAGGATGCTACCACCATGACCCAATCTTTTTTTCTGAAAAATCTGTTATTGATTAAGAAACACTTTGCTGCATCTCAAGTTCGCCTCCTACCCTAAACTATCAATAATAATAAAAAAAACAAAAAAACAAAGGTGCATTCTCTACCTTGAAATGGTTAGGTTAGGGTAGCGCTCCTTTAGAAAGGATGTTAACTCGTAATTTTCAAGGATGGTGGAGCTGCATAAATAACGCCCTTTGGCCTTTGCATCTTCGTACACCAACACATGACAACATGCCACGTCATCGATATGAACATATCCCATCCGTCCATCTCTCAAGGAAATGGGGGAATCTCCTGTGCATGGCACGTGCAAAATGTCAGTATAAATCTCTTCATTTTTTTTTAATGGTATTTTATAAATTTAATTAGTTCAAAATAGTTTGGATAAGACTCGAATGATGATGATGAAATGTCATCATAAAATTTCTATTAATTAATAAAAATTAATATTTAATTAGGCTATGAGCATTGTGTCAAATTCGCTTCAAAGTCTTATTTGGTTTGGTGAGAAAAATAAAACGATTAGGTACTTCAACTCATTTGAGAAAAAACTTTAGAATTTTTTTTTAAAAATTAATGTAAATAAAATTGATATTTATATATAGAAATATATAAAAAATAAAAAATAAAAAATAATTTTTTTTAAAAAATAAAAAATAATTTTATATAGATATTTATTGGCTTCGACTGAAGTAACCTGAAGTTGACAGAAACGGCAACACCAGATTTCGCTTCGCTTCGACCTAAGCCTAAAATCCAAAAAGCTTTAGCTTCTTTGACCAAAGCAAAATGAATTTGACAACATTGGCTATAAGATCTATGAGTGAGGACTTTCTAAAAATCCGTAACATAGTATTGGTGATTGAGATGTCACGGATCTCTCTTTAGCTATTGAGACCAATCAAGAAACATATATATACACATGGGTAACATACATATGCACATGGTTAAATAGAACACAAGCACATAAACATTTGTGTTTTTGTTTGTTTATTTGTTATATACAAATAAACTAAAAATCTCTATAGCAATGAGATTATTTTGGTACAAAAAGGTGACAATCACTCCTATTAGTTAGATGCAAAATGAGGCAGGCATGTATCATCATCGTGTTCAAGTTTGATGCCTCGTTCAGCTCTTATAAGATACAATCTCAAAATTATATATAGATGACATTGTAACTCTCTCTCTTTCTCTCAGTCTGTCCCCTACCGCATTGCTCGAGTCAGATCGAGATCGATAACCAAGTGATTTTGGGTTGATGAACCCAGAATGGCATAGATGCTCCTTGTTTTTTTGACATTTCCAATTCAATTTTTCTTAATATAGGCGGATGCAATTATGCAACTGTATTGTGTTGGGATTGGATGAACTAGAATCGGACCCCTTGCGAGTTAGGCCCGGATTTTCATCCCCACAGTCATTGCAAGAGAGGAGAGGATAAATGGCAAGGTTGCTAGCTGTAACCCTCCAAGGTTGAATTAGAATGCTAAAAAATATAATTAAGCATGCATTTGATGTGCCTAAAACAATTATAGCAATTACTCTCCAATTATGCGATGAAAACTTTATAGAAAAATATACAAAGAGACTATTTACTTTTTAATATAAGGCGGTCACAATTACTCTTGCCCGTCAAATTTTAAATTGAGTGGATGTGAGTGTATAATTGAGAAAACTCAAAGTTCAAAACAAAAAAAAATCTCGAACTTTATGACATACCTCAAGCCATCTAATTTGATAGCTAATGGCTCTAATCAATTGTAACCTCCTTCAAACAAAGATGAATAATCTCGTAGTATATAATCCCAAAATTTATTTAGTGACTTAATAACTATAAGTTTTGACATTTTCAATATTTTATTTAATAAAAAATACCTTTGAAAAGCAGATGATTTAATGTAGCGGTCTGCCCTCTATTTCCACCATTAACATATCAAAAAAAATAAATAATTAACGAACTAAAAGGTTATGGTTATGTTAGGGTACTCACACTATGAAGTAATTTATCGTTGTACTCAACAAATTTTGAACACTTCTATACCCTTATTTTGTACATGAAGCATTTTTTTAACAATAGTAGTTTTTGTCATTAGGAGGGTATGACGTCATTCACATGGGGTATGACATCACCCACATGAAGTACACTAGTGGCATTTAATTATCTATATGAGTGATGTCACACCTCATCTTAATGACAAAAAATACCCTTACTAAAAAAAAACTTTATATACGAAACAAGTGTATATAAGCGTCCAGATCTGTTGAGCACAATGATAAATTATTCTATAGTGTGAGCACCCTAATATAACCCACAAATAAAATACCTTTAAGCAAAGCCAAGACATTCGAGGCTGTGGCACTTAGATCACGGGGTAGGCTTGGGCCTATGATGAATGAGGGAAGAACGGTCACCAAATCGATCCCATTCTCCTCAGCAAATTTCCATGCTGCCCTTTCAGCTAAGGTTTTTGACAATGCATACCAAACCTTTCCACGATATTTTTTTTTAAAAAAAAAAGAGGGGGAAGGGAAGTATGATCAACAACAAATACAACTCTTTGAACATCTAAGAAAAAACTAAAAAATAAAAACAAAAATAAGATTCTTCAATCAGGAGATTATATGCATAGGAAATGTATACAATGAGGCCATTTATGTTTGATATAAGGAGAACACAATCATCATTGACTGTTAGATTTGATATCAAATGATTGATGATGTGTCATTCTTTAGGCTTATTCAAAATAAATTCTCTCGAATATTGTGACATACTTATATCTATAAGATTTCACATCCAATGGCTATAATTGATTGTTAGCTTCTTGTACAATATATATATATATATATATATATATATATATATATATATATA